TTTAACTATATTCCTACTTTATTTGTTATTCTTTTAAATAAATAATGCATTGAAATTTTAATTATCATTATCAAAGCACTTGTATTTAATGAGGGTAAAATTAGATAGATATAAATTTTTTAAAAAATTAATATTTCAACTAATATTTTTAAGAATTGTGAATTAATTACTAATGCCTTATATTTTGGTTTGAAGGGAGTAATTTTTTTTTATGTGTCTAAAATATCAATTATCACTCTAAGAACTGCGAAATTAATTAAATTAATGCTACATTCTCTCAGTATTTAAATGTAAGCAAATTTTAACTCACTCACGTAGTTTAAAAAAATTAGTCAAATATAATAGTTATGGAGTATTTGAAATTAAAAAAATTGAAATAAAAAATAATGAAACATGTCACAGCCAAAAAGTGGAGAGCGTAATTAGGAGTGGGGGAGTATCTGACAAGGATGGAAATAATTAATAGACCAATAAAAAGCTCAGTTTCCAGATTCAAAGCATCATTAGGCTTGTTTAACAACCTATCTTCTAGAAACAGTTTCCTGTTTTCTAAAACAAAAAACCCAAAAAAAAAATGCTTGATAACATGTTTTATAAAGTATTTTATAGAATAAAAAAAACTAACTATTTTTTAAAGAATAAAAGATGAAAATATCTTTTAAAAATTTTGATATGATTATTTTAAAAAATAAAAAAATGTCAAAATAAAAAGAGTACCTCTATATTTTTATTATTAAAACATATTTTATAAAAATTCAATTCTGAAAATAATTAAAAAAAAACAGTTTTAAACAAATACATTTCCTTATCATTCTTCAACTTACCATCTCTCTTGCTCAGTCAAGATTCTCCCGACATCTTAATTTCATATTAATTTCTTTTGTGGAGTCTGCCTCCTCACATGACTGGAAACATGCAGATTCAAAGGATCTTAGATTCCCAGATTATTTATCACCACATGATTCCGATCCAGAACTTTGAATTGTCGGCGTCAAACGTTGGAATCTGTAAGGAATCTATTCGCACAAACATGGTGGGCGGCGGGATCAAAATCTTGCACTTACAATTTTTGCCCTTTTGAAATATAATTACATGTGAAAATATAATTTTCTTAAGAAGTCATTTTCCAAATTGCATGTCAATTTCAATTTTGCTTGTGCACCCCATGTGCCTGCGGTGCAAATGAATGAAACCCACCTACTCTTTCCCTTCCAAAAGTATAAAGTATTTTTAAATAAATTATACTCTTAATAAATTAATTAATTTTAAATTAAATTTATTTATTTATATTATCATTATTTAATAAAATGTCTCATTTAAAGGTGAAAAGCTGCACCAAATTCTAATTCTTATATACATTTTATTGCTATCATTAATTTTATTAAAGGGTAAAATTGTTAATTAAATTTTTTTTACAAGTTTGAGAATATTAATTACTACTTCCTTCGTCTCAAATTATAAGATATTTTTAGACAAAATCTCATATACCAATAAACCTTTTTAAATATAATTAACAACTTTAATTTTTAAAATAAAAATATGAACTTCTAAAAATATCTATCATTTAATATATTAAAAAGAAAAGGGATGAAAATTAATTACAGAAAGAAAAAAATAAAATATTAAAATTGATACATTTAATGAAATTTTAATCTAAGCAAAATGTCTTATATTTTGAGATGAAAAAACTTCTTTAAAAGTGCCTTATAATTTGAGATAAATGGAGTATTTCTTAAAAACTACAAAGTTGATTAACTTTACTATATAATTAGAACTAGAGAGAGTATTAAAAAGTTCACTGTCAATATACTAATAAAAAAATTCATTCTCATTTATTTTTGGCCCCCAATAATAAATAATCAATGAACTAAACAATGTCTTCAAAAGCTTTGAAATTCTTGAGGAGAGAAGCTTAATGTGAACCCCATAAGTTACTTTCATATGCTTTGAAATTGAACTTAGGCATTGTATGCAAGTAAATTTTGTCTTCTGCACAAGCATTTTTTAAAAATAAAATAAAGAAAGCATTTTATTTTTTTCCCCAAAATATCACCAACTGGTAGTTATGAAATTAATTCCGCGAGAAATTTGAACACCATTTGAAAAATTATCTTTGCCCACAAGATGCTTTTTTATACATACTTTTACAAATGAAATATTGAATGATGATTAAAGGATTCATATTATTTGTGCCACACCTACAGGGTAAAAAAGTCTTTCGTTGATGATCTAGAAGTTTCACATGCTTTGGTGGGCTCTCTCTAATATGCAGTGCCTGAGCAAGTGAAAAAGAAATGTAAAGCCTGCCTCACATGTCTTATTCACTTGAAGCAAATTAAAGCATTATGTCTTTATGACTCAACATTGATTCAGACTGCCTAACAAGTATATTGTTTGGATTTGTTTAGCTTTGAGCCTACGATGATATTTTATTTTATATATTTGGTTTATGTAATAATGCAAAATAAACCCATTAAAAAGGAAATACAATGATATATCATCTGAAAATTCCACAAACTCATCCATCTATTGGTATTTGATTTCCAAAAAAAAAAATGAAAATGGGGGGTTTTTTAAATCAATTTTTTTAACTAACAAAAGTTTAAGTGAATTAGGTTTTAAATTTGCTCACCAAAATAAATTTTATGCACCGCCTAAATAGTACGCACATGCTCTATCTGGTTAAAAAAAAAAAGGGTAGTGATCAAAACAAGTTTTGTGAAAGCTTTAAAGGTTGATAGTTTTTTAATCTAGACATCGAAAGTTTCTTGCTTCATTATCATGTTTTTTCTTTGTTTTTTAAGTGTAATTCTCAAAATTATTTAAAAAAAATTGTGTAAAATTGGTATTTGAGGGGGTTGGTTTTTTAAAAAAAAAATAGTTAAAGCCTTGAATGAGGTATGGAATTTCTTGGTTGGAGAGTTGTACTGTATGGATGGGTTGGTAATGATCCATGTGGAGATGGCGAGGCCTTGATTTCTTTGTTTTCCCCCTTAAAAATGTATATTTGGATTTTTTTAATATAATCAGGTCAAATTCAAGTATTATCGGATTTAATAAAAAATTTCTGTATTCAAACAAACTTGAACAGGAGGCATTGTATTTAAAAAGTCATAGTCCTTTCTGCTAAAACCAAGATCAAACACCTATTAATAGGTATAAAGGGAGTTTTAATTTATGTCTACACTTATACAGAGTTTAATTATCTTCTTTTTGTCATTTAAGTAGCAATTTAACATTGTACATCCTAAAATTAATTGAAAGATTAGTTTTTCCAATTATTTATTAATATTATTTTCCAAAAATTTGGATCCCACAATTGATAAGCTGATACCACCCATTGTCTACACTTTCAATTTGGGATACATGTTGGTCTTTGTTGCTTTCAAATTAGAAGATTAGAAAAATGAGACATATAAAAGTCTTGTTTCTCACTATAGAATGGTTGGTTTCGAGAAATTAATATAATCTCTTTGTCCTTATCGTAGATATGTACGTTGGCATACACTATAAAAAAATAACCAGCCACCTCCAGGAGTTGTTAGTTGGCACATAGCCTAATAGAATCTGATTTTTCTCAAAGCATCAAATAAAAGCCTCATATTCAGGTTCATATTTAAATATTTTTCTTCAGAAAAAGTTAAAGGAGCCATTTGAGCCGTATAAAACCAATATTCTTGTCCAATCAATTAAAACCTGCCTAATCTTTTTCCCCCCTTAATTATTCAAAACAAAATCAATGCGTTTTGAAATAAAGTAGCTCTGATTCTTCATCGAGCAGGCACATGCTTCCGTATCTGTAAGAATAATTCTTGATTCAGATTCCACTTTGACTCTTCTACGTACCGTCCAATATTGATGCAAATTAATTCTGTGAAATTAGGGGTGTTCACGGGACGGGACGGGATCGGGACACCCTCGTCCCGTGGCCCGTCCCGAAAAATGATCGGGACTCAAAATTTGTCCCGTGTCCCGTCCCGTCCCGAAAGTTGTCCCGTCCCGAAAGGAGTCGGGACGGGACCGGGATGTCCCGAATGCACATCAACAAGATTATTACAATCTTTCAACTTATTAATTGACAAGAATAAGCATATGTTACATTAATTAGAACCCCAAAAAAGTTTAATGCAAATTTCATTATGAATATGATTAATCATAGAAGTAATGACAGACTAGAAGAATTAAACCATATAATTAAATTTTGTTCACAACTCAACACCCAGATCTTTTTCTTTGAAAATATTTCTTAACAATGTCCTACTTTTATGGGAGATTTGGAGAGAAAAAAATTACCTCATACTGCTTCCATTTGAACGGCACTTGAATTCTTCCCATATTCTCCATCACTTCAAATTCCTTCCCTGCAAAATCATATTGAAATAAAAAGATTCAGTCTTGTTATTTGCCTAAAGTATTCCTATAATTAATTTATCATTAATTGTAGAACTGAAATTACTGTAAAAACACATTAAAGTTTTGAGAAAGAAGCTACTTTTAGCATGCCCCTGCAATTTATAAGTGGCAAAGAAAGATTGCCCCTACTTTTAGCGTGCCCCTGCAATTCATAACCCTAATACTTAAAAATTGCTATGGTAAAGAAAGAAACAAATTAGAGGAAACAAATTTATTGTAAGCAAAGCTATACTATGTCAAGGTATTAAACCTGCCACTTTTTCTTGACCTTCTTCATACAATGTAGTCTCAACTAGTGATGCCGCCATCTTCCCCATAAGAATATGCTTAGTCATGTAGAAAAAAATTCAAGAAAAAGAATGCTTTTGGAAATACCAAGATTTCCTACTAAAAGAAAAAAAAGCAATAACAGAAAATCAAATTAAATCAAGTCTAAGAAGAACATTTCAGCAGCAACATTCAAAAGACAAACAACAATAACAATTCAGCAAATACAGCTCAACAAAGACAAGTAACTTCCAAGTGATAAGTGCAACAACAAGTCAAGAATCAACAATTTAAGCCCTAAAGATAACTTCAACTTCGAATCATTGCTCTTCCTCTTCAACTGAGATATTTGAAGCCAATGATTCTTCTGAAAATAAAACAATAAACACAATATAAACAAAAATTATTAAATATAGATAAACGAGAAGTTAAATCATATTAAAAGAAATAATCAATTATAAAAAATGATATTACCTTCCACAGCTTGCTCTGTATCGTTAAAATTATCAACGTCAACACCCTTCAATTTTGCAGTTGATGGAGATAGCCAGTTTTGGGCACAAATTAGTGCCTCGACCATCTTTGGAGATAGGGAGCTCCTAAAATCATCAATTACACAACCTCCTGTGCTAAATGCAGATTCTGAAGACACAGTGGAAACAGGCATGGCCAATACATCACGTGCAATCAATGAAAGGACTTTATATTTAGCCGAATTCAATTTCCACCACGTTAAAATGTCAAAATTTGGATCAAGTGCTTCAGCTAACTCATCATGCAAATACTTGTCCACCTCTGCATACTTATCTGCTTGAATCTCAGTCTCTTTTTGGGCGAGAAACCTTTGAAATGAAGCCCTAAACCTAGAAGTTAAGAAAGTTAAAGGCCTATGATCTGATCCAAGTGATTGAGTCAAACTACTTTCACTTGCTCCTTGTGTCTGACTTTGACTCTGACTTTGAGTCTGAGATGTGTCAACCCCACTTAAATAATGATCATACAAACGATATAAGACATCTGAGACCTTTTTTGTCATAGCTTCACGTTGTGTAGCCTCAGGAAACATATCCTCAAAAGCAAACTGCAAATATTTCATTTTATACCTTGGGTCAAGTACCACTGCTACCACAAGCAAAAGATTAAGTTTCTCTAAGTTCCCCCAATACTTATTATACTTGATCAACATGCTCTTAGCCATACCACAAAGCAAGGAATCATGATTGTTTGCACTTTCATATAAAACTGCAAAGACATCAACTATTTGTTGAAAGCAAACATTTGAGGTCACATAAAGTGATCCTGAAAATTGCAAAGTAATATCATAGAACACCTTTAAAAAGATCACAAAATCTTTTGCATCCTTCCAATCATTTTCATTAGGGGGACCAATCAAATTTTTATCCAAGAAGAAGTTTCTATAATCATTATCTTGCTGCTCCATCCTCTCAAAAACGCTGTAAAATTTAATTGCACTCTCTAACATTATGTAAGTTGAATTCCATCGAGTTGGACAATCCATGCTTAGTAGCCTCCTTGAATCAATTTTCATTTTTTCCACAAGCTCCTTGAATTTATGAAACCTTGATGGAGAAGATCTCACATATTAATGGCATTTCGAATGCCTTCAATACACTTGTGCATATCCTTCACACCATCAGAAACAATCAAATTTAAGATATGCGCACAACAATGCAAGTGCAAGAACTCCCCATCACAAACTAAACCATTCCAATGCCTCAAGACCCCCTTTAAAGATGCCAAAGCAGTGTCATTAGAAGAAGCATTATCAACCGTGATTGTAAACACCTTATCAATGCTCCAAAACAGCAAGCATTTCTCAATTTCTTGAGCAATTGTTTCTCCCTTATGATTTTCAACTACACAAAAATTCAAGATTCGCTTTTGATATGTCTAATGATCATTAATCCAATGAGCAGTTACGCACATATAACTGGCATTTTGATTGGAAGTCCAAGTATCGGTAGTGAGAGAAACACGGATTTGAGATTTTTTAAAATACCTTTTCAACTTTCTAACTTCTTCAAGGTATAACTTGTAGCAATCTCTAGTAACTGTCGCTCTTGAAGGGACTTGCAAGCGAGGTTCTAGCCTTCTCATCATCTCTTTAAAACCATCACCTTCCACAACATTAAAAGGCATTTCATCCAATATCACAAATATAGCAATGGCTTGTATGCAATCGAGTTGATTAAATAGATGATGACTCAAAGTTTTAGATGACCCTAATTGAGAGCCCGATAGCAAAGACTGTGCCAACTTGTTTGCTTTGTTCGGATTTCTGGGACATCTTTTTACATGTTTTCTCATTCCATTTGTCCCATGTCTTGTAGAGTCACAACCAATTGTTGTTGGGTAGTACTTGCACTTAGCACGGGGTTCTCCATTAGTTTTGTCCAATGGCAACCTTTCAAAATGCGCCCAAACAGCTGATTTATGTCTCTTTCTTCTACTTTCTCCTTCATTCTTTGACTCATTTTCCTCTTCAGTATTATTAGGTGATGAAGCATTTTCAGGATCTCCTTCTATTGTTTCTACATTTTCTTGAAGGGTGGGTGTAGTGGCCATTTTTTTTTGCACTGTAGATTTGGCCAACAGCAACAACAACAATTACCCTTAACTAATTAAAACGTCATATTAAATATTCAAATAGGAATGCATAAAAATCAAGGGCATTAAATTTCAATCTAAATCATGTAACCAAATACTTAAATAATCTATATGGTTAATATTTGTTTTACTTAATCCAGAGGATGCAAATAAAATAATGCATGTAATAGGTTCGGTTGGAAGCATCACCACTTCTTGTTCTTGTTAAATAGAATTCTAACACGTAAATTAATATAATCAAGTTAATTAAAACATGGATATATATACTACATTTGTAATGAAGTATCTACTTTTGTCAATCTACAAATATAAATAGTATATACATGGGCATATATATTTCAAATATAAATAGTATTTTTCTTTACCAATAGAACCGTGAAATCTCATACACAGAATAGAAGAGGATATACATGGGCATTGATTTATCAACTCGAAATGCCAAACATAAGCTCAATCATCTCATCCCTATTAATTTATTTCTCAGCATTCAACAAGACAATAAATGAGCAATAAAACACACCAAATTTGAGGACTCCTTGCAGATCTGAGTAGAAGAGAATGATGGATTTGAGGTAGCACCAGATCTGGGTAGAAGAGAATAACCTTGCAGCTACGTTAAATAACCTTGCAACAAATACCTTTTAGCTGCATCATGTGGAGGTGGAGAAGGAGGCGTGAGCGTGAAGGCGAAGCTATGCGAAGGGAATAATAACACTTGTGCAGCTCTCGTCTTCGAGGTTACGAAGATGTGGAACTGGAAGACATGAACAGAGAAAGCGTTACTATGCGAAGGGAATAATAACAGTTCAGAAATGAGATTCAGGGAGGAATGTGTGGAGCTGTGCTGTGCGAAACCGAAATTGAAGATTTGCTCTGCTGAGCTGTGCGATACTACGATTGATCTGTGAGACTGCGATTGCGATTGAGGGTTGGAGGCTTGGAGCTGGAGGCTGGAGCTTTGAAAGGGAGATCTAGAAAGTGGAAAGTGGAAACCGAAGTCTGGATCTGGAAAGTGGATCTGGAAACCGAAATCTGCCGCATGCGTGGTGTGTCTTAGCTGTCATGAAAATTAAAAAATGCCATTAAAAATCAGTTTAATTAAAATAAATAAATAATAGTTAAAATTAATATATATATATATATATATAATTATATGCTGAATATAAACGGGACGGGACGGGACGTCCCGATGGGTGGCCCGAGTCCCGTCCCGTCCCGTCCCTATTTTGGCCCTGTCTCATAAAAGTCCCGTCCCGAATTTTTTTGGGTCGGGACAGACCCGTCCCAATATGATCGAGACGAGCACGGGCCGGTACGGGTCAGTCGGGCCGGGTACATCTTGAACACCCCTATGTGGAATCTGTACTATACATATGCAATTAAAATATTAGCACATAAGCATATAAAAACAAATCGAGCGTGTTTAAAATGGTATCTTTGCTGGGCCAACAAGCATATATAGGTCAGTGAATAGGGATTATACTATTTTAACAAGTTATCTTGAGTTGGAATTTTGAATATCTAATTTCATTAAAAATTTGTTGGGAGAGTTTCGGTACCCGCGTGATCATTTCCAACTCGAGCCAGATTAATTGGGATCCAATGTGATAATTAGATAGTAGTTATTTGACAAGAACAACAAAAAGTTAGGGTTCTGTTTTTAAAAACTATTTTTTATTTTTTAAAATAAAAAAATTTTAAAATTTATTTAGATAAGTGTTTTTTATTTAGTTATTTTTAAAACTGTTTTCGTTTTTTATTTTTAAAAACAAAAAAAATAGAAACAACTTTAAGTTGTTTTCATTTTGTTTTTCTTATTTTTAAAATATACTACATTTAATTATTAAAAATTATAATTACCTTCATCAATTTTTATTATTAATGATCACCATTAATTACTTGTAACAATCACTATCAATTCATTTCTTTAATTCTAAAATTATTTTTAATTAATATAACCAAATAAATTTTTATTTCATTTTATTTTAAAATTAATTTTAAAAACTATATTACAAAACAGTTTTTAAAAATAAAAAATGAAAACTGAAACCAAACAAACCCTTAATCACTTGATTTTTATAAGTTCTATAAGTTTTAATTTAGTGTAACTCAATCTTTATAATAGTTTTGACTCGATTAAAATAAAATTTTTGAACTTTAGATTGATACAATTTTGTCCCTATGAGTTTCACTATTTAAAAATGTTGATTCATGTGTTTTAGAAAATACAGTTATAAGGACTAGAATAATTTCTTGAGCTTAAAGCCTAATATTTCAAGTGGTTAAAATTATGAAAACTATGGTTAAATTTAAATACAGAGTTTCAACTCAATCAAAACTATAGAAACTGAATTAAAACTTAGAGATTAAATTATAATTATACCAAAATTACAAAACAAAATGATTTTTTTTTTAAAAAAAGAGATATCTCTCATGGGAGGGATATAATTAAGGAAGAATAACAAATAAGGACCTTAAAAAAATGTTAAGAACTTTCTGCAATTGAGATTTCAGAAATTTACAAATGAAAAGCCTTTGTTTTACATTAATTTTTTTAGAGGTTATTCCATGTCATAATTTATATGATTTAATGAAGGTTTGAACGTATAGCCTGCTGAATTAGGTAGCGCAGCGTGATGCAGTAGCAGGGAAGTGTAGCTTTCAAGGTGATCAAGATTTGGAACAATGTGGTACATGTTTTGTTTCCCACCAGAGGATCCATGGTAAGTGAACTCAGTTAAAGTCTCTTTGTCCTCTTTTGCAGAAATATATTTATATGTTGGCATACACTCAGTAACATGCTTGGTTGGTGCCACTTGCTTAGCTCATCATATGCTGCTGTCTTCTTCCACATTTGCTCTCACGGCTCATCTCAAAGCCTATTCTCCAATATTCATAATATACAGAGAAAATAACAATTAAGAGCTTCATAATATCATTAATTACTATTAGGGATCTAAATTATTTAAATCTCAATAATAGATCATGATTCTTACTTAAAATTAAAAAATATGGGTTTAATTTATTTTTTTTTTTAAAAAAGACACTACTCAACAACATGCCTGGTTGGTGCTATTTGCATAACTTATCATATTCACGCTCATACTAAAACCTATTCCCTAATATTCATCATATATATTTGTATTTTGTTGTTGTTGTTGTTATAAAACTTTTAAGTGAGTTTTTCATAAAAGGTTTAAATGGGTTATATTTAATTATAATTAAGAGAGGCTTTAAGGCTCAAAATATGCTTTTATAGCATTTCAGTTTGTTAGCTAAAAACTTAAGGTTTAAGTCATTAGGCAAACAAGTATTGATTCAATTAATAAGGACTTGATTTATGATTTGTCAAAGTCTGAATTTAAATTTCATTACTGATATAATAATTTTATTAGTAAAAGATTGATAATTGGTAAATATCTATATAACTGCTCTAAGTCTAGAGGCATTGGATTCAACTCTCCTGAAATTTCTGGAATAATAATAAAAAAAAAAGTAATTGCCAGGATCGCTTGGACTATTAAATGCGTTTGCTTTATTAATTGAAAAGGCCAAATATTTTACGTGAAAAGATGGAGTGTTAATTAATTGCATTTTTTTATTTCAATTTTATCGTTTTGTAATTTTCTGAGTGAAGTAAAAATTTACATATGAGGGAGAATATGTATTTAATATGATATATACGGATAAATTAAAAAATCTCTTTCTTTTTAGACAGTATATCCATTATTTAACTTTAGGAAAAATTTATATACTTAAACTTATTTACTTAAGATGCTTGTATTCAATTAAATCAAAATATATGAATCTTTTATAAATTATTTTTTATAATAAATTTTTGTTATTAATTAAATTAATAAATTAAGAATCACATGTCATAATTTAATTTAATATAAGTATATTAAAAATATAAGGTTAAGTATCTAGGTATTATTCTTAACTTTATTTCCTTAGTGTTGACGAAGTAGTTTCAAATTTAGAAATGACTCATATAATATTCACTAGTTCAACATGTTTTTTTTTTCCCTCGTTCAATATTGTTGATACTCATCATAATCTTTTAAAATCTCATTCAATTAATTAAAGTCGTTTTCAACAATTAGAAGAAGTTGAGTTTTATTATTTGACAATTAATAATTTTTATATAATGTGGCTTTCCATATCAACTGGAGGGACCACATTCATCTACATGAGAATCACATTCTACAATCAGCCAATAAACACAAAAAGAAAAGGACCTTTTTGGAAAGATAGACTTAAATTTCCATCATACAAACAAATATATAATAAATAAAGAGAGAATCGTAGAAATTAAACACTTAAATATTTTGAATGAAATAGTCATGCCTAATTTTCTGGGTTTCCTAATTATTCAAACATTGCTTTGGAAATAAAGGAGATTGTATGCACCACTAATCAGCAAGCATAATGTTCTTTTCTGACCATTCCATGGAATCTGCAAGAATTTATGATAAAAGAATTACTCTTTTTTTTTTAATTGTTTGATGTGATAAGCAAGAATTTCTTATTTAATAATCACATTCACATGTATTTTCTTATAATATAATCAAGAAGAAAAAGAAAAGTTTAGGGATCACTGTGATTATGGAAGTAGACCACTAAAATCAGAAAAGGGTCGAGCAAGTTGGATTGGGCTAAAGCATTACAATTCACAATTGGTCCTTTTCAATGTCAATGATACGAAATTTCAATCGGAAATGTGTCACTTTCAATTAATGTTCCTGGTAGGAAGCAAATGCAAATATATGTTGAAAAGTCGGTCAAATTGACTTGTATTATTATTATTATTAGTATTATTATTAATATGGATAACATAATTTATGATAATGTAATTTTTAATTCCTAATTTTTTTCTGAATTATTTATTTAGTAAATAAATTTTGACTTAGTATACGTAGATCCTAAGTTTATTGAGCCAATAAATCATAAGAGCTTATTTATATTGAGTAAAAAACTACAAGAAATGAGTTCTTTCTGGTCAACAAATTACAGGAGGTGAGTTGTTCTTCATTTTATTGGTTTATGTTCATTTTCGTTTGAGAACTGTATATAAAAAGTAATAAGTGCTCTTAAATTTAATTATGAATTAATTTTATCTCTCAATTTTAAAAATATCCTTTCTCATTACACTGCTATTTTTTCACTATTAGTTGATCATTATTAGGTCCCACATTATATTTTTTTAATATAAAATTTTTAGTTTAGGGATAAAAATGGCTTTTTAAATAAAAGTTGAGAGGTAAAAATGGCCCTTATCTTAATAAAAATATTAAAAAATAGTTGGACTCATGGATGATTAAGGACATTAAGTATTTTTAACATCAAGGTGATGGCAAAGAGAATCTTTAAAGTCAAAGGACGAAATTGATTCATAATTAAATTTAAAAACATTTATAATTTTTTATGTATAGTTTATAGACAAAAATAATTATTAACTCTTGTTTTATTGTACGCAAGTATCATTCTATTGCAAACAATCTCAATCAAAAGGAAATAATTTTAATGCAAAGATATTTTTCAATAAAAATTTGAAAGGTTCCAGTTCAAAATGTAGAGATTAAGTTGATAATTGACAAAAAAAAGAAGAAGTAAAACTTATATTTTTTCTCTTTTTCATTGTATATATATCTTTTTATTAGAGGTAATTTTGTTTGAGCAAAGTTTAACACTAAACGTGAGTATTTATTATTATTTGAAATTATTTAATAAATCACACAATTTTAATATATTAAAATTTAACAAATAAAAATTTAAATAATCTAAATTTATTTATTTTTTAAAAAAGTCAAATTCATGGCTGAGTTTTGAACGCTTGGATCCATTTGTCCCATGTCACATCAATCAATCTAAAAGTCCAATTATTCTTGTTATGCAAGTCTCTTCCCGACACCCTCTAATCTTATCAGAATAAATTAGTGGCCCAAGACTTGGATGTTTCTCAATTTGAAAATATAGTTCTTGTTTCGTGTGATTTTAATACTAAAGCCCTTTCTCACAGTTTCACGTTGGAAAATATTAGCAAAAAAAAATTTAAATAGAATATTCCACACAAAGATAAGAACGAATACCATCCCTTCTTGGCGCCGTTTTACACGTGGCGGAAAAAAAAAACTGTTTTAAAGGTATCAATCAATTTATTGTCAACATAAAAAGTTTCAACACCAAATGGTAATTCAACGTAATCATAATATCTAAATTATCATTTCATTCCTTTGGCCAAAAAAAAAAAGTGTCATTTCATGTACGACGACCAAACCAGTTCATACACATCTTTTTACTTGACAAAAAACGTATAGTCGAAAATTACAATTCAATATCACATGACCAAATTTTTTATTTTATTGATAGTATTAAAGAGAGTATGGTTTTTAGTGCAGTTCCACTGAATAAAAGATTACATTTTTAAGTCATATATATCACTAAGATCATGTTTAGGATTTGTTCCTTATCAGGGTCTTTTCCTCAACACCAAATAGAATTAGAATCTCTTAACTTGGGTGATATCAAGTGATGGAGTGTGCTATTTATATGTGCACACACATGAGAATTCAAGCTCATTCTCAGTGAGAGCAGGCTGGCTACATAATAACTATTTCATATCAATATCCTTTTTCAGTTTTATATTTAAGTTACTTTCTATATTAAAAAAAATATGTACAATAAGCATTTTTTTTCAATTTTAACATTTTGCAATTTTCTAGAAATAAGATAAGACATTATACATAAGGGTAGTGTTTCTTACATATTGTATCAATAATGTAACAACACTTTCTTGATTCTATTTAAATAATTATAAGTGACACATATATTTTACCTAAATATATTTATAAGTCATTTTTAACTAGATCACCAAAAACATATAGAAGTAGTTAAATTATTGATATTGTCAAAAAGAAAAAGATATTACTTAATTATCCTTATTAAATATATCATTTTTAAAAAACACTTTCTCTCTCTCTCTCTCTTATAATTTGTTATTCTCTATTTATCCAAAATTGTAAAAGCGTAAAATTGAAAAAAAGAATTTAATGATTATTTTCAATTATAAATTACTCCCTTAATTCAAAAATATAAGACATTTTTAGTTGAATCCCATCCTAATAAAGTAATTATCTACTTTTAAATTAATCTTTTTTTTATATTTATTTTTTATTAAACATCCTACAATAAATATAAAATCATTCATCAATAGGGTACTTTTAAAAAAATAATGATTATATTTTAAAAGATTAAAAATGTCTTATATTTTTTAATGGAAGGAATATCTTTTAAATGTATCATTTGATTTTTTTTAATGTAAAGCGACTTATGAAAATGTCCATATTACCCTTTTTTTAGACAACACCAAATGAAAAAGTCACCTAATTAATATCACGGGCGATAGATTGTCCAGCTCATTCACACGCTCTTTGTCGAAGGAAGAACTAGACCCGTATACACTTCCTTTTCAAACATTTCACCACTATTTTAGTTTTAGTTTTATTTTAATTTTAATGTTCTTTTATATATTTATATTAATTATAAATACTTTGTCGATATAAGTTATTCTTAATTAATTTATATTTTTCAAAAAATTTGTTAAAATCTTAACTTTTAAAAAAAATCACATTTTTTCAATAGTTCACTTATATTATATATAATAAATATAATATTTAATTTATTCAAAAAATTCTTATTAATTACTTAATAAATTAATCAATAAAGTAAGAATGTAATTAGAAAAAATATACATAACACCTATATACGTTAAACTTCTAAAAAATAATTTATATTGTGATCTGGACATAATAAAAAAAATTCATCACTTCAATTTTTTCAATTCTCTGTAACAATTAACAAGTAAACAAAAACACATCATATAAAATATTTAATAATAATAATAATAATATACACAACTTGTACGAGGCTGGCTCTCAAATAACTATAATAATTTCGAATTCATTTTCACATTTTCCCCTGAATTTCACAAAGAGAAAAAAACAGATCGAAAGAGACATATTTTATCTGTCCAACAACAATCTTTACACGAATACACAACACATTTCTCATCTCTTTCATTTTCTTCTCTCTCTAAATCTCAAGTAAAACGATCCTTTTTATTTTTATCATTACCATTACTACAATTATTATAATACTCCATTTCTTCAGAAGACACAAGCTTTGAGTCTTCTTCCTAGTTCCATGCTCATAAGTTTCCTGTCAAACCCAGACGCAGCCAACATTCCTCTGTTCTCTTCAGCTCTTCTCAGAAGATATGGCATCACCATCTCCACCGGACCGAACGGCATATACTTGCTCACCTGAAAACCTGCGTTGCTCAATCCATACGATAATCCTTCTGACATTCCATATAACTGAGCAAATTCTAGCTTGTGATTCACCTTCCCCATCCCTAATTCCCAAGCTTTCGCCGCCGCAAGCTTGCCGGACTCCACGTTGTGCGTCGCCAGCACCACGGCTCCGCCTGAGATAGTGCCGGAGCCATTGGCTATCCTCTCGAGCATCAGCGACGCGCAGTCATTGAAACACTTGTGAGTATCTTCAATGGTATTGTGAATCGGAGATGGTTGACCCAGTGACTCGGCTAGTGTTCGTTCCGTCGACATGTAAGCTCCTCGAACGAGCTTGAATCCCATCGGAATTCCCATTTTGTCTGCAACTTCCGTTGTCTTCATCATCCTCTCCTTCGCGTCTTTCAGGTATGTCTGGATCGTCCCAAAGATGATGGGATTGTCGCCTTTGTTGTGCTCCACGGCTGAGGAGTACGTGAAGTAGTCGATCGCCGGCTGGACAGTGGTGTGCTCGGCGTCCACCAGTAACGGAACATTGGCCTGAACACATCGTCGTGAAAGCTCTTCAAGTCTCCGGTGAGCTAGTTCAAGATCAGATTCTTCTTCCGGCGTCAGGGGCTCTGGTCTGGTTTGAGTATGATATAAAGGACTAGATTCTGAGAAAATTGATAGGGTTTCTCGCTTCCATGGAAGATTCAAGCTCGGATCTTTCTGTTGCCATCTTAACAAATCGCTTATTCTTTCAAGCAACGTCATGGGACAAATCGCCGTGATCTTCACTATCACAAAGCTTACCTGTAATTAATCACAAAACCACAAAGATCAAAACTTTCATCCATTAATGAATCAAGCTAGCTTTTGCTACAAATAACAGTAACTCAGTTCAATTTATGGAATCTTAGAGGACTATTGCATAACGTTGTTCATGTTGCTAAGTGTCACGAAGCTTGACTCAACGAGGTACCTAGGACTAGGAGGTCGGCGAATGTGGGGTCCACGGAGATGAAGAGACGAGGCCCACCAAAATGGACGGTCCTGAGCTAAAGAAGCTAATGTATTGTATATCACGGGAATTGATAGTAGTACTCAGCACAAAATTGTTGGATGTATTCTAGAAGAGAAACACCGAGGCCAAATTGAATGTACTTTTGTACAAAAATCTGAATCCAAGTGGGACGAGGGAAAACAAACCAAAAGGAAAAAAAAATTCTTTTATTTTTTATTTTACTTTCATTTTCCAGCTGTAAGGCACCACCACCAGTGGGACCACCACCGCCATGCAAGTGATGGTCCAAGACGAACCTCGTGGTGGCATGGCACGTCTCGGTGGAGTCTATTTTCAGATTGTTTGTTATTGCTCAAAATGGAGAAAGATGAAGATGAAAAAAAAATTGAATTTTCTTATTGTCGAGGAATTTTAATTTCTATTATATATTTTTAGGGATGATAAAAAATAAAGGAGAAAATTTAGGAAGAAGCTTACGGAAGATGGTGGAAGCGATCTGCTAACGTCAACGGTGTGAAGGAATCCGTTAAGGTTCCGATCACAGGCGTCGTTGTCGTGGGCGTCTTCGACGCCGTACACGAGCATGCCTCGCAATCCGGCGTCGTTCAGTCCCTTGATGCTGCGTGCGGCGGTGGCGGCGTCCTCGCCGGCGCAGAAGTGGTCGAAGAAAGTTCGTCTGACGGCAGCCAGAATGATCTTGCGAAGCACGTCGACCTCCATGAGCTTGGACTTCATAACCCACATTCCGAAATCCACCATGGATTCCGACGCGGTGGCATGCAGGACGGCGGAGGATCGGAGGAGCCTGGACGTGGGGACGAACGAGAACAGCCTCTGGACGTCGTCGAAATTGAGAAGAGATGATTCCCCGGCGAGGGAGGGAGGCGACTTCTGAAGGTTGGACGTTCTGTCAAGAAAAACAGGGGAGGGAGCGACGGCGCCGGTGGCAGAGGCAGCGGCGGGGGAGAGGGAAGGTTGGGGGTAGTTGAGAGGCTTGGTGGAAGAAGCGGTGTTGTAACGGACCTTCTTGAGGATTCTTGGAGGGATTACACGGGTGGCCATCAACAATCGCAGAGACGTTTTGATGAATCTCGCGAAGACGACAACGACGACGACGACGATCTCTGTGTCTTTGTGATGAAAGAAAATCTAAGAGGTTTGTGTTGGAATATGAATTGCAATGAGAATTGTCTCTCAAGTAAAAATGCGAGTTGAAATGGGAGGGCCTGAGGGTAGATTTATAGGCAAAGAATAAAGTAATTAAGAGAGAAGAATAACGCGTCAAGTAATTAATTGGGTTAGCCTATTTTAAAGGCTAAATTGCGCTCTATATTTTGCGCTGTATATTACATTATGTAATTATATAATTAACAAACAACAACTTATGCGTTCGCTTTGTTGTATTGTATTGTACTAACTTGTAAATAGTGTAATTTGTTGATTGTTAATGTTCAGATTGACATGAGAGGTAAGATTTTAATTTTATTTAGGTAATATTAAAATGCCAAGTCAAAGTCACGATTAGGAGATAAGTGAAAAGGATTTGATTTTTCTTCGAATTGATGAAAAAAATTACCTCATTAAACTTGAAAATACTTGAATTTACGGTAAGAACATCAAATATAAAAGGGAAAAAATTAAGACAAAATGAAGGTTGGGTGAGTAATAAAGGTGCAATTGATTAACAAGGTTTTTCTGAAAATACTTTTTTTTTAATATTCTTTCTGAAAATACTTTTAATTGGAGGTGTAACTAACAAGAATTTTTAATTGAGATACCTTGTAATTTTAAAGACAATTTATGAATTCATTGAAGTGTGTAATTCAGTTAAAAGTACTTTGTAATTCTGAACAAAAGGAATATGTATAATTTCTAAAAAATTATTTTAAAAATAAATTACAAATATTAATTTTAACAATTGTAAATTAAGAGTTTTAATTACAAATAAGATATTTAATTAACTTTTAAATGTAATCACATCTGGCTAAATTGATAAGTCCGACTCATTGTTTTAGAAAAAAATATAAAAAACTTAACTCACATTAATTTATTTTTTTTAGAATTTACTGTGATTCTCAGAATAACAAGCATGTTTATTAGGCGTTGAGGTATTAATTAGGCGTGAAAAACAAGGTTAAAAAGAAAAGAAAAGAAAAGAAAAAAACCAAAAAGGAAGGGACCAAGAAGAAGCGGTTGTGAGCTGGCCAAGTTAAATTATAGTGAGAGATAGATAGATAGGTGGCGATGAGTCTGAATCTACGTGGATCCACGACCATATCTCTCAGTCCTCAACGTGCAATTTTTTCAAAGGGGGAAAAATAAATAAATTCCTATCACGACATCTCAATTCCTCAACTTGCCTCGTCACTTTGATTCTCTTCCAAGATAATCGTTTCAAAATAAATAAATAAAAAAACAGCCATATTTAATGATTTAGATTTTGATGCCACCCCCCAAAAAAAAATTTCACAATAATAAAACTCTTGAGATTCAGACCCACAAATCAAGCGATACAATGAATACATTAAAATATTCACTATATTGTCAAATTTACTTGGTTTTTTTATTACATTATCACTTAAACCTAAAATATTACTACTTTCTGCTGATACTAATACAAATTTATATCATGTGGATCCGCTATTATCAATAACAGTCCCATGACTCATGAGTACCTCGGTATTTTGCATGTTTATTTAATGTTATTGCATATTTTATTCAACTTCTTCAATTAGTTAAATCATTCACCCATCAATTAAATCTACTTTCAGTAATACTTCCTTAGATCAATTCAATTCTTAAACTTTAATTCATAATGACTTACTCTTTATTGTTTTTGTGACTTGAGATAATTTAATTTCATTAATATCTTAACTCAATAAGGCATAAGGATTAAGTTGAATTATGTCAAATTCAAGAATATATTAACAATTGAAAAACAATTGAAGGGAGTATTATTGAAAATAGATTTGATCAATGGGCGTTTGTTTCTACTAGTCATAAGGAAATCTAATCAACTTATCTCAAGAGGTTTCAAATGTGAGTCTTAAAAAAAAAAATATATATATATATATATATATATAGTCGCCTTACATGAAAATACCAAATTCATTTCATGGTGCCCGTGAGACTCCTATTAATCATGATAATCCCACACACAGCGAGGTTCAAATTAATTTGGACGTGCAATGACAATACTCTCAAGATTTTCTAAATACTGGGCAACGATGGAATAAAAAAATGGTGGTTTTGAAATAAAGTTAATTAATACTCTATTTTTTAATGCAAAATGACTTATATAAATCATGCTACCAATTTATTTAAAAAAGGAAATGCCAACATGTGGCTTCAAAGAGAGCAAAGAACAATCGAAGTCAAAATTTTCTGCACCAAATAATGGTGGTGGTCCCCCATGAGTTGTATCCGGAGCCATTAAGCTTGTGTTTTAAATGGCTTTGGTTGTCTATTTTCATTATTATTAATAATATAAAATCTTCAAAAAAAAAAATATTGCTTTTAAAAAAAGAAAAAGAAAAAGAAAAAGGGAATCACTGCTAATTCCAGAATCAGAGACCCACTTAGATTCAGTCGCACATGCCCATACGTACAGTTGACTCACTAAGCGACAAATAAAAATAGATTCTGTTCCTCCAACATTACTGGATTTGACGAACGATACACTGTGCGCTGCTTGATTCACTCACTTTTGAAAAAGCATGATCATTTTCATTAATTATTATTTATTTATTTTTTTTTTACTTTCTCGGTCATTGTCATTGCCAGCTAAAATAATAAATTAACATATCTCTACATTTATTTTTTTGCCAATTACTTTAATTTGTTATTTATATAATTCAAACTTATGATCCTGCATCAAAAGAAAAAAAAAAAAATCATGCACAACACGTTTCAATTCAATGGCCATTGTTAATGTCAACTAAAATAGTTATAGAGTACATCTCTGCATTAATGCAAATTTAAAAAACTTTATTTACATGCACTTTTTACACATTTTCCCTTTTTTCCCATCTTACGCAACAACGTATATGCAAATTACTTGGGAATGAAATGATTAACGGTAGTTAATTCCAACAGTATTGGTTATAGCGGCTTAGGTAGTGCCTGAGAGTTTTTTTAGATGAAATGGGTTGGGACGACAAAAGTTTTTATATCATTTCTTGGTATAATTTTTTAAAAGGAAGTAGAATGATTTGAAATAATCTTCTGAACCTACTTTTTGGACCCCAATTTAGGGGTCAAGAATAAAATAACCTGACATAAATAATATTATTATAAGGTTAAAAGTGCAAAATTTAACTACCAATCGTTTTCAGAGGACTAGTGGGTAACATAAACTTTGAAGTTGTGTGAAATAAATCTTAAACTTAAAAAAAAAACACCTAGTAGCATTTGTTAACTCCAACCTAATAGATATTTATTGTCATGGTAGGGCTCAGTCAAATTATTAGATAAATATGTAAATTTAACTATAAATTATTTTGTGATGATCATTGGATAACTTATATTATGGGGTGGTATGTAATAAATCCCGAATTATTAAAAATGAAACATTCAATAGCATCATTTCAATTCCTTAATGGCTCAATAACTCTAACTTCACCCTCAACCTTTTTGTCATAAACAGCGTTGTGTCCTAACTCAACCTCGAAGTTGCCCAATCTTCACGAGAAGGGCACAATATCTTGAAGATGAAAAAAACTCTCACAATAGTCCTTCCAAAATAATTCATAGCTAAATTTATTCATTTATCTAATAATTTGAGTGAGCACTATTATGACAATAAATGTCTGTCAGCTTGAAATTAATGGAGGTTGTTGAGTGTTCTGTTTTTAATAGTTTAAAATTTATTTCACACCACCTCAAAATATAAGTTACCCATTAGTTTTCGAAAAATAATTGATAGCTAAGTTTACACATTTACCCTTATTATAAAATTTTTTTCTTCTTGCTCACCCCTCTTACCCTTTTTCTCCTATCACCTTAAAGCTAAAAAACATAATTATGTATAATTCAAACCTATTTTTTTTATTGCTCATATGTATTTTTTTATTAGAGACAATCCTATTCAAAGTAAAGTCGGGCACAAAATATGAGCACCCCCCTTACTGGAGAATCGAATATTGATTTGTCTCGTTTTAAAAAAGTAGCTCTTGTTACTAGACATTATCTTTGTTGGTATATAATTCAAATAGATTAATTTTATAATAATTCTTAAATAATGATTAAATAAAATCATTCATTCTTTTAGTAAAACTCCCATACAAAGGAATATTTAATTTCATTCTACTTCATTCCGCTCCGCTCTATCTTATAAATGACCTTTTTTTCTATTCTATCATATACTCACTATTGTAAATCATGCTTTTAGGAGCGATTATAGAGAAAAAAGCTCCAATAAAATGAGAACCTACTGATAAAGTATTCTAGAAAATTACCTTTATTAAAGCGTTTTAAAAATGAGTGCTCCTGCAAACCATAAAAAAATTGGGAGAAAATGAATACCTTTAAAAGCTTTATATTAAATCAATTCCAAAAGTTTTCATTTATTAGAGTGCTTACTGCAAAAGTGCTCTCATGATTAAGTCAAAACAAAATAAAATAAAAATTACCTTTAGGTGTGCTTATTTAAAAAGCGCTCCCAATGATTATATAAAAAAAATTAAAAAAGCAAGTATTTAAAAGCATTTTTTGAACAAGCTCTCCCACAGATTGTATGAGTTTTTTTTTTTTTTAAAACAACCATTTAAGAGTGCTTATTTAAACAATGCTCCTCTATGTTGTGCGAAAAATAAATAAAAAAAAGCCTTCATTTAGGAGCATTTATTTTTATAGGTTGTCCCAAAAAAAAAGCTTTTTTTTAGGAACGCTTATTTAAAAGCATTATGATATAGAACCCTTTCTGGGCGTTTTTTATTTTTAGTGCTTTCATAGTACCTTTTTGGACACTTTTATTTTAACACTCCGAAAGGGTTCACATAGAGGAATGCTTCGTAAATACGAGAGAATTTTTAGAAAAAGATCTTGTAGGTGTGTAATTTTTTTAAAATTAAAATTCTTTGAGACTTACTGGGCACTTTGATAGATAGCGCTCTCATAGGCCACACTTATTGGAGCACTCTCCCAAGAGTGCTCCCATCTCCTTTACCTATTGGAGTACTTTGTAAGCGTTGTGTAAAATTTAAATTTTTAACAAT